ATAGCAGTCACTAGGTTAGAAAATAATTCGGCAATTGGGCAACTTTTTTAAAACCGTAAGCTACCCTTCCTTCAAGTATAAAATTAAAAGAAGGCGTAATTTGCTATCAAACATGTACAAGAAATAATTTTTTCGTCTATGTTTTACATAAAATATATTTGAATTTATAAAGGCAGTCAAAATCAATGATAAAAAGGCAAAAATATATTTGAATCTATAAGGGCAGTCAAAATCAATGATAAAAAGGCATACGTCCATGTTTTCTGTGAAATATATTTAAATTTATAAAGGCAGTCAAAATCAATGATAAAAAGGCATACGCCATAAAGTATATTTGAATTTATAAAGGCAGTCAAAATCAATGATAAAAGGCATACTACTTAAAGGTAGTCGGTTTTTACAATATATACGTTTTACTAGGAGTCGGAACGAAGCTCGTTAAAAAAGCCAGTTTTTACAATGGATACTTTTTGCTGGTGATCAGAACGAAGCTCGTTAACCAGTTTTTCACAGTAGATACTTTTTGCTGGTAGTCAGAACGAAGCTCGTTTATAGTCAAAATCAATGATAAAAAGGCATACTACTCAAGTAGTCAGTTTTTACAAAGATACGTTTTGCTAGGAGTCGGAAGGAAGCTCGTTAAAAAGCCGGCTTCCTACGTAGGAGCTGGAACGAAGCTCTTTAAAAAGCCGGCATCCTTTCCTGACTGAAATGACTTCATAATCGAAACGAAGCTCGTTAAAAAGCCGGCATCCTATACTGACAGAAATGTTTATAGAATAGACTACACGATAATCAGTCTGACAACTGGAGTCATTTCCGATTAGCGAAAGAGTATAAGTCTTTCGCCTATGTCGAAATATTGCATGATCAACGGCGTCTACTGTATATGAGTCTATCACATTAATACATCTCGCCAACAAGGTTTTCATGCGGAGCTTCCTAAAGTTGGCACAGATTTTCTGGTCCATGGGTTGGGGAAGTTGAGTGGTGTTGGGAGGAAGGAACCTGATGGTAATTAACTGATTTTCGGGGCACATATCGTCTTGCATCTGTGGAGGATTCGCAAGAGCATTATCGTGCACAAGCGAGCCCTCGCGGGAGCTAGCAGCCAATCGAAATACATCAGTTCACTTATTGGCTTCAGACGACCGAGGACATAGGCCCTGGAAGCAAGACGCAACGGCGGACATAGGCACACACACACACACACACACACACACACACACACACACACACACACACACAGTGACAACTCGTGAGCTGAGCGGTAGCTCGTCAAGCAAAACAACAGTTTCTGCTAGTGACTCACCCGTTACCTGAAACGCTCGTAGATGTGGCTAGCTGTCTGTCACCTGAAGCTCAAATTTCTTTCTTTTCTGAATGTACTTTTAGTGAAGGCGGTTATGTGTTAGCACTTGGGTCTGATATACTGTCTAGGATTCTACCACCCAAGGATTATCATTATGTTGCATTTTGCAAGAACGGTTGGTTGCAATGGAAAATGGCCCCTTCTATCCAACAGAAGAATACGATTTCGGAATACGCTGAATTAATGGAATAATTGGGCTATAATTGCAAATGGTAGACGAGGAATTTAAAAAACTCACTGAACATCTCATAACTCAATAGTGTGCTCCAATAAAGTCAAATAAAAAAAACGATTTGACTGACTAATGACTAATCGGACGGAAACTGAACGCATGTGTAGGGTAGAATAGTAGAAACTTACGTTTTCCAAATTGGACAACCCGAATGGCTTCTCGTACATTTTCTGTGAAAACCGGATATATAGGCTAAAGACGGGAAAGGAAAGAAGTACCTCAAGGGAACGCGTATACGGCGAAACAATAAGTATGGCTAGGTTTAAAAGCATAGACACCTGCGATAAGTAGAAGCCCCGTCAACACGAAAAAAAGAAACCTGGACAAGATAACGTCAAATCAATTATCACTAGAATCAAAATCTACCTGATTGGCCAGAATAGCCACGCGGGCGAATCCTCGACGCTTGCCCCATACTATTGAGTAGTATTCATCGGCGAAAAGCGCCTCTCTGACACCACCCGGTGAAATCAAAAGAACTTCACCCCTGTTCGGGGAAGTGGACGATTCCGAATCGCAAGCTGAATTGTTCTCCTCGTCCATATCAACACCTATTAGTTGGAAAATTTGGAGAATGGTTGAGAATAAATGAGCATGTGGTGGATTGTCAGCGTATTTAACTCGTAAATTTGATAACACAGGATGTTGTATTGGGCAAATGGTCTAAATCACCTGGGCGGTAAAAATTATGGATGAAGTGCGGATCACCTCGGACGTTTACCAATATACACATGTATGTTGCCATTCAAGCAAACGTTTTCGATTTGCTCTACAACAAGCCATTTGAACAGGACATCCGCGCATAATTTCACAGCTAAATTCATACATAACTAACGCTTTTCACTAGAAACCCTATGGACGAAAGTTCGTCCTTCAACTATTTTAGGCAGAAGTAGGTCTTCTCACCGCGTCATTTCTTTCATTATATTAGTTCTTCGAATATCGCAGGCGTAACGTTCCGAGACCTCCTCCCGTGAAATCGAAATTCCCGCAATTATATATACATATAGCGAACTTCAAGGCATAGCAGGACGAATGAGTCCCTTCGCCAATCGGTGAGCGTCTATCTACTACTGTTATTCTTGCGCCACTAGCTTCCTTATCGGTTCATCGTCACATTGGAGGTACGCCTGTTGATCCTCCAACAGGACTTTGACCTTATGAATATGGTCGATCTTATCGGACAGTTAAACCCTCGGGGCAAAAGTAGCTTATGTAGGACCACGCATATACCCCTAGTCCCGGCATTTTGTCCTGCAAAAACGGTGGTTATAGTTTGGGGGGTGAGGAAATAGGATAGGCACCAAAGGAATTTTTTAAAATTTAAAATTGAAAAAAAATTAGTTGAAGTTGCTTCATGCGGCCGCTGGGAGTAAGTTGGACCTCAGGTAAGTTGAAGTAGACGACCTCCTAACCATCATTT